CTAATGTCAGTTCGCCCCCTTGGACCCTGTTCAGCACCTCAGGGTGGAGAGGCCACACCTATGCGTCCAGCCGATTTCCCAGGGGACTCCTAGGAGTGAGTGTGCAGTGACTTAGGTCACTGGGGAACGTGACAGCCACAGCACCCAGACTAGCCACCTTTGAGCTCTTATCCCTGGTTGCCAGGTAGTCCTGCCGCCACCTGCACAGTGACAGCGGTGCAAACTCCAGGTGTCCTGAGAGTCCTGTGTCCTCTTCCTAATGAGGCTCTGGTGACCATCGCTTCTGTTCCACCAGGAACCACAGGAGTTCAGGGCTCTGTGGGATGCCAGGCGTCCTGGGTGAGCATGATGCATGTCTGCTGAGCCTACTCTACCGGTATTGCCTCAGGACCCCACAGGTGTTGGCCAACCCTCATGCAGCACCCAGAGCTGTCTTGTCACAATCGTGGTCTGAACTGACGGTTAAATCAGGAAACTTCAGTGCTAAAACTTACTGCCTTGGATTTCCACCCTCTGTTCAAACTCCTCCATTTTGGAAAGCACAAGCGGCCAGTGGTGACCAATGGATCGGCACCATACCCAGCGACTATCAATCACTGGATCATTTTTCTTTTTTCTTTTTTAATATATGTGAATACACTGTCACTCTCTTCAGATATACCAGAAGAGCGCATCAGATCCCATAACAAATGGTTGTGAGCCACCATGTGGTTACTGGGAATTGAACTCAGGACCTCTGGAAGAGCAGTCAGTGCTGTTAATTGCTGAGCCATCTCTCCAGGCAACCATCAGATTCGTAGAGGAACACTTCTCCTCAAGGATGAATACCTGCTTTCCACACTCACCCCCAGGTCTCGCCTGGTTCATGCCTAGATCAGCCTGGCACGGGCATTTTCGGAAAGCAGTGGAATCCAGAACATCCAACCTAAAGCTGCCCGCAGCCGGCATGAGCTCAGCAGGCAGCTGAGGGAGACCCTTAGGGATCTGGGTTTGGCTGCTTTCAGTGCTGACTCATGGGGGAAGGCAGGCAAAAGAACAAAAAGATGAAGTTGTTTCAGAAGCCCCGTGGAGGTGGGCCCACCCATAGGGTTTGGATGTGTCCCCTTACTAAGCACTTATGAAGCACCTATGTGCAAGCACTGTATCAGGTGCTACAACAAGACCAACACGGGAGGCATATGTCTGAGTTGGGCCCCACATCATTCAGTCTTGGCTCAGATTTCAGATGGTCCAACTCTGCACTGATTGCTTAGGTCTCCGAGCGCCCTCTGCTGCCCAGAGCTGAGAATGCAGTGCATGGAATTAGCTGCGGTAGGTGCCCGGGAGCAGAAAACCCCTTTAAAAGGCATCTTGAGGCCCCTTTCCGGCTCAGAGCTGCTGTCTCGGGAATGATAAAGAAGGTAAGCATGGTCCGAGGAGGTGGCTCCTCAGGAAAAGGCTCCCACTGCCAAGCCAATGACCTGAGTTTGACCCCAGGGTAGGAGAGAACTGATATCCGCAAGCTGCCTTCTGACCGCTACCCATTTGGCAGAGTAGCCACGCCCCACCCACACATACAAAATGCATACTAAACAAATAATGCTTAAGATTCTTTTTTTTTCTTTTTTAAACAGCGTCTCTCTATATAGTCCTGAAACTATGTAAACCAGGCTGCCCTCAAAAACCTGCCTCTATTGGGTACTGGGATTAAAAGCAGGACCACCACACTGCTAAAGATTGTTCAAGGCTGGATGTGGTAGCACATGCTTTTGATCCCTGTACTCGGGAGGTAGAGGAAGGTGGATCTCTGTGAGTTCAAGGCTAACCTGGTCTAAAAAAAATGAGTCCAGGATAGCCAGGGCTGTTACACACTGTTACACAGGGAAACCCTTGTCTCAGGAAAAACAAACAAACAAAAAACCCAAAGGATTTATTTTTAAATCCTGTGTTGGGGGTGGGGGGAGGAATGGTTCTGGTAGTGCAGGTGTGGCAGAGTCCAGACAGGGTCAGGTCCCCTGGAGCGAGAGCTGCGGGCAGTTGTGAGCCATCTGACTTGGGTGCTGGGGACCAAACTCAGGTCCTCTGGAAGAGCAGAACACATTGCTAACCACTGATCCATTAACCCAGCTCTAAAATCTTTTTTTTTTTTTTTTTTTTTTTTTAAAGAACAAAGCCTGGAGCTGTAGCTCAGTAGCCCAATGCTTGCCTGTGTGTGTTGAGGCCTCAGGTTCAAGCCTTGTACTGCCCCAGAAGGGGTAGGGATATTTGCACTTACTGAGACCCTTCCCTTTGCAAAAGACTTTATGCCATGGTGTGGGATCCAGGACTCCCACACCCCAGTCCTTGAGAAGCCTCACAGTAGGGCCAAGGTGACACCCCACCAGCTCAGGCCTAGTGGAGCATGACCCCCTACCTGCCTGTCCTCAGCAGTGGCTGCTTCTCAGATGCCGGTGGCAATGTAAGTGGTGTCCAGTTGGAAAGCAAAGAATATAAAAGTGCAAGGTGACCAGAAACAAAGATACCACACCTGGATGCACAGGAGTGCTCGAAGGGGCAGGTGCATAGCCAAAGGCTATGGATAAATACCATCAGCACATGGGGACTAAATCCACTGCAGTAAAACTGAGTGCGGTAGAGCAGGGCGTGGTGGTGCTAATATCAGAGAGCTCCCATGAGTCCCAGGCCAGCATCTTTTCTCGCCCTCCATCTCCCTTTCGTTCCCAGCCCTCTTTTCAGGTGAACCCGGTCAAGTTGTAGCCACGGGCGGCTACAGGCCAGCACACATAAACTATCTTGGAAAAGAAGGACATGTCCCAGCGTCTTCCGCAGGATGGGGTGGAGTTCACATCCTACAGTTGCTTAAGGGAAGCAATGCATCCAGGGTAGAGATCAGGTTTGGCTCTGGTTTAGGTCCACAAGCAAAGGGAAGTTCCGTGTCCTTCAGTGGCTCTGACAGGAGCTGCAAACCCAGGGAGGGATGTGACAATTCTTCATGGTGAAGCTGCACTCCCAGGCAGAAGGTCCAAGCTGACATGGGAGGAAAACCTGAGCGAGCCATCAGCCTGAAGCACAGTCCCAGAGGGAAAGGACCCTTCAACCCTATGCCTTAAGTGTTCCACTGAAAACCACAATCACCACTGGGACTTGAATTTATGTAACAAAAAAATACCTAAGAAAATGCAACCAAAAAACTAATATCAAGTGTACAAGTTTCAGTGAGAAACCATGACCTGTTGCCTCCGCCAACCACTAATCCTACAATAAGGCTCCCAATAAAATTCTGGAAGCCGGAAATGGTGGCACATGGCTTTGATCCCAGCACTGAGGAGGCAGAGGCAGGGGAGATCTCTGGAGTTCAAGGCCAGCCTGGTCTCCAGGGCTAGTTCCAGGACAACCAGAACTACATAGAGAAACCCTGTCGCAAGAAAAGAAAAAAAAAAAAAAAGGATTATATATATGTCCAAACAACTAAAGACATTAATATGCTCCCAGGGGAAAAAATGTGAGCTCAAACACTGTCGACAAGAGCGATTCATCAAAGGCTAGGATTGCTAAACCCCGATTAAAAGGTTGAGTTTGAAAATCTCAAAAAGCCAAATAAAAACAGTTTTCTAGATCATCATGGAGAAACTACAACGGGCCCATGGCTCCGGGCTGGCTTGCTGTCCGCCATGCAGGCAGCCCAGGCCCTGCTCAGACTCCCTGGACCAATCAATCCCCTTTGTCAGAGCCAGGCTTCCCCAGGCACCCTCTTGGCAATGCCTGTTCCTGCCGCCAGTCCAAGCACCAGGACCTCTCCCCTTCCAGACAGGGTCTCTGGTGCTTACATGGGACAAGGCAGTAGGGTGCTACATAGCCCTGGTTGGCCTAGAACTCACTATGTCAGCCAGACTGTCCTCAAACTTACTGTAATCATTCTGTCTCTGCTTCTGCCTTCTGAGTACTGGGATGGAGAACGTGGTCACCATGCCTGGCCAGTTATTACAGCCTGGCCTGCTCTGCACGGCCCAGTGGTTACTTCTATTCAATGGTGACAATTTCAAGAGATAGAAAGTCTCAGAAGTAGCTCACGGCAATTTCTGTGCTACTACACAGGATTGTGTCAGGCTACCCTCACATGTAAAAATGTCAACAACCTACAATCTCCCAGACCACCATAGTAGTCAGTCTAGTTTCATTTTTGTTTGTTTCTTTGTTTTTCAAGACAAGGTTTCCCTGTGCAGCCCTGGCTGTCCCGAAACTCAGAGATCTGCCTGCCTCTGGCCCCCCACCTCCCGAGTGCTGGGAGTCACCACTGCCTGACAGGTGCGATTTTTTTTTTTTTTTTTTTTTTTTTTTGGTTTTTCGAGACAGGGTTTCTCTGAGTAGCCCTGGCTGTCCTGGAACTCACTCTGAAGACCAGGCTAGCCTTGAACTCTCGAACTCAGAAATCCTCCTGCCTCTGCCTCCCAAGTGCTGGGATTAAAGGCGTGCGCCACCACCACCCGGCGACAGGTGCGATTTTTATACACTCTTCCTCAACAAGTTAAAATGCAAGTCCCCTGGGCTGGAGAGATGGCTCAGCGGTTAAGAACACTGACTGCTCTTTCAGAGGTCCTGAGTTCAATTCCCAGCAACCACATGGTGGTTCACAACCATCTGTAATGGACCATCTGTAATGGGATCTGATGCCTTCTTCTGGTGTGTTCGAAAACAGCTACAGTGTAATCATATAAATATAATAAATACATAAATCTTTAAAAGAAAAATGCAAGTCCCCTATACAAAATATATCACAACGGGTAGAAACACTTGTCACATGGCCTGGTGACCTGAACTTGACCACATCAAAATGGAAGGTGAACACCAACTCCCCAGTTGTTCTGTTCCCCACACATGCACCCTGACACACATCACATAAAGTAATAACTAGCAAAATCCTTAAAACCCTCCTCACTTCCATTATGGGAGAGAAATCTCGCATCTCAGCAGACAGGTACCTTCATTTAGTGACCACCAGAGAATGAACACACAGGCAGGCATCACGTAAACTGGTCATTTATTAGCATGGACCATTGGACAGGGCAGCATCCAGCATGCCGAGGGAGGGAGGGGGAAGCCGGCCGGGCAGCAGGCTCTCACTTCTTCCACTCATTCTTGTCGTAGTCCCACTTGGCAGAGAAGCCCTGAATGGGGTTGGCCTTCATGTCCAGCATCCGCTTGGTCTGCATGGCCACCCAGTCACTATCAAAGGTATGAGGGATGGGCCCATACACTGTGGTACAGAACAAGTCTGTGAGGAAGGCAGCCCTGCTGGGATGGCACTGCCCAGGCCTTCCATGGCTCAGGGTCTCCCCATCCATAAGCAAAGCCACCTGCCCCAGCCCCTCTCACAGGCTTTAGTAACTCCTGTCAGTGAAAGGTCAGCAGGGAAGTCCTACGCATTAAGCTGTCAGTGGCAGACTCCGCAGGGTGGCCCAGCACACAGCTAGGGATGCCACGCAGAGGACTGGCATGTTAGTCATCTGCAGCCACACTCAGGAGAGGAGGGCCTGCTCAGAATGCAACCCAACCCAACCCAGAGAGAACACACAGCAGAGAGCAGGCAAGCTCAACACTGTCCACACAGTATGGGAAAGGCCTCACACCCCAGACTCCAGATGCTCGGGAACAGCCAGCCACGCAGCAAATGGGTCTCCTAGCTCACAGCATGCAGTCCTCTGTGGACCTGAGACTTAACAGAGCAGATCCAGGCTACAGAACATGGGACGCTATACAAAGAAAGCGGTCTTGCTCTGCCACAAGGACAGCTGGCCATGCAAAGGGCACACTCTAGCTCATAAGTGTTCCCATGAGTACAGCCTCTATCCACCCTGGGCTTGGAGGCCACGTGAGACCCCAACAGTACCAAGAGCTACAGCTCTCCTGGGCCTCACCTCACCCTGTCCACTTACCAAAGCTCTTCTCCCAGATGAGAACGAGCGCAGTGAAGCCAATGAAGAACATGGCCATGCCCACGACTGTCTTCCACTCATTGGTGCCCCTGTTCATCTCGGCGAAGCTCTCGTTAAACTGGATGCGGTACACTGAGCGGGACAGATGCAGGGTAAACACAGAGCACAGATGGGGGCTCAGCCCTCCTCCCTGAAGAAACCCAGCCCAGGGATGGCACAGGCTAGGCCAGAACACACAACTGTGCACAGATCTGCGCTCACACACCAGCAAACAGAGAAAATGCAGAGCTGACTGCCAGCAAAGCCCTCGGTCACGTGAGGTCATATGGCTCTCCCATTTTTTCACAGCACACAGTGGTATTCAGCTGATCTTTCGGCAAAGCCACACCCATCCTATGTACCAAGGAGCTGTAATCTCCACACCCTGCTCCTCACTGAAGGCTAAGCCAGCAGTAGCCAATAGATATCCCAAGGCCCAGCCAGGAGATCTGGTCTAGCCCAGCCACCTCCTCACACTACTGAGTTTTTGTGCACACCCTGATACCTACATTGGACTTTCTCATCCCTGGAAAGGCTGCTCCAGTCGGCCTTCTCCTTCTCCTTCAGGGCCTTCTGGCTGGCAGACAGCATCGTGACATGGGCCACATCAGGCAAGGGGTAGTCACGCCGATCAACGTAAGCAGGGAAAGCATAGTCTTCACTCTTCACAACACTCCCTAAGACACAGTGGGTAAATCTGAAAACCCGTGTAGATGGGTATCTAGGCAGAAGGGTGATGGCAGGTCAATGGTTAAAGGAAAGCCTGACCTAACCAAACTCTAGGACTTACAGTCACCAGAGGCAGGACCAGGGCCGAGGGTTATTTGTTGGATAAGCAATTGGACTAAATGAAGACTCAACCACAGGGTCTCACACTCAGAACATAAAACTCAAAAAGGGAAGGCGGCTGTTGCAGTGACCCCAGCAGCCTCATCCACTGAGCCACCACTCACTAGTTTATTAGACTTAGCAAGTACCTACTGCTCACTCGGCTAACTCTGGACATATGTGGGTGGGATTGGGAGGAAACAAGCGTCTCTGCCTCCATGGGCTCACACTCTGTGAGAACCGAGCAAGACATGACACATGGGTCCCCCTTGAGGAATGCACGTGTGTCAGGAAGCAGAAGGTGGCCCTCAGACCCCAAGGGAAGACTGCTGTGCTCAGTCAGCAGACCCACGGCAGGTCAGGTCTGCCCAGGGCAGGGCAGGTCTGCTTTCCTTGGATGTTCCCCACTTAAAGCACTCAAAGACAGTCAAGTCAGCCTGAAGTGAGCAGGGGAAAAAGCCAGACCCTCCAAAGAGGGGAGGCTCCGGTGGCTCCATCACGGTGAGCATGCACCTAGGCCTTAAGCAGTGCTGGGGTTGGTTCTCCCACGTGTTTATTGTGCTGCACAAATAACCACTGAATCTCCACTCTTCTGTTCAACCTCAGAATTCTTAGCATCCCATAAAGCCAGGCATGATAGCATCCCGAAACTAAGCACTCGACCAGCTGAAATAGGACGATCTCAAGTTTAAGACCTGACTGATCAGCCACAGAAACACTGTCCTAATTAAATCTAGGAGACGATGATCAGAAAAAGAACAGCAGCTCCTGAACATCCTTACCAAGTTCAGCACACAACCCCTCAACCCTATTTCTCTGGCTTAAAATACTTGGACTGCAGGCTATAGAGATAGATGTAAATTAGGGTGAGAATGTTCCAGAATCAATCAACCGTGATGATAATGGTACATACCAGCAACTACACTAAAAAGAAGTGACTTCAGTGGCCCAGTGTATTGTGTCGATTACAGCTCAGCTATCAGACTGCCATAAACTCTCATGGTCTCAGAGCCCAAAAGCCATAAAACACTATATTCTAGATCAAGAATGGGTAAGTTATTTTCTAGGTACACTTCAGAGATTTGTGCCTGTCCCAAGACCAGAGGAAAGCAAAAGACAAGCACTCTTTCAAAGGACAGAGGTGCAGAGCCCACATAGTTGCAGGCTTCCTCATAGTTGCAGTCACCAGTGCAGGACCAGGCTCCCCCAGGCCCACGTGCACAAGCATGGCAGGGAGGTGACCTCACTTGAGCGAGTGGCCTCACTAGGCAAGGACTGGCACCATCCCCACCTGAAGCAGGAGAAACATGGCCAGACACCGACCGCTGGAGCCCTGCCAAGCACGAAGACAAGTCCCAAGCAACCGTGCTTGCTCCTCATCCCTGTTTGGGCCTAAAGGCTGTGGGTGAGGGGCTGACAGCCTTACTTCCAAGTAGACTTGAGTTGTGGAAACCCTACCTACCTACCCAGGCATACGCCAGGCCTCAGACGCCCTTCATGCCGTCAGTAAACCTGAATCGTTGGGGGAAGTTTACAAAATAATAATAAAGGGGTGGGGAAAGCAAAGACTCTGCATTCAGAAGACTGCTTCTCACCAAGGTGAGCGCTGCCGGGCTGGTCAGGCGTTAGGCCTCAGGTCCTTTCTCAGTCACTTCACACCACAAATACCTCAACTGACAGCAGTGCCCAGTGGAGTCCCCAAAGCATCCTCACACGTAAGCACGGAGGACAAGGAGACTCCAGCTACCTGTCCACTGGCCAGACTAAAAAAAAAAAAAAAAATGACAGCCAAGCCAAACTGAAAAGTGGTCTCGTCACAGATGTCTGTCCCTGGAGGTGGAGCTTGTCTTTCCATGACGGTTAATAAAAGAGGGACATCCTTACCCAACACCCTTTGACAACACCTATGTCTCAGCCTGCACCTATGGTGCCGTTCCCCACAGAAAGCAACAGCACACAGCACTATCACTGCTGCAGAACGGCCTCACCTACCACCACCACGGAGGCCACTGCAGGAGAATGCACGCTGCTGCCTGGGCCTCTAGATAGACAAATCTCGTTCTCCAAACTTCTCACCTGCAGCCCAGGCCTCACGCCTCACACTGCTGCCCTTCAGCAGCAGACCCTTCTTCTAGAAGCCTTCCCAAGTGCCGGCCAGGCTGTCTAACACTAGCTTAGCCAGACCGCTCCCTACTGCAAGCTCTCTGTGGAAGGGCCACCCCACACACTATCTTAGTCTCGGTGCCTAACACTGGTACCAAGGACATGCTTCATAAATGCCAAGCTAAGGTGGCGATACGCCAGGCTCAGAACCAAAACCCTGTGTGTCTGTGCATTTCAGCTGAGAAGGCAGATTCTTAAGACACCAGGAACTGGTCCGTGACTGAAATGAAATCCACACAGCTCAGACTCAAGCCCACCAGCCTCCCTTTGCTCTCACTGCTTCTGCAACACAAGTAGGGCTTAGTAAGTTTACAGAGTTCTGTAGAAGCCAAACGTTACAGTCAGCCATGGAGACAGCCAGAAGAGACAGAACTTTACAGCTGTGGTACTGTGCCTTTAACCACAGCACTGTCAGGAACCCTGTGAGTTCGAAGCCAGTCAGAGCTATACAGTGAGACAGGAAGGAAGTGAGGAAGGATGGGTAGGAGGGAGAGAGAGAACTAGAAAGAAATATAAGAGGAAAATATATCAAGCAAAGACCCAGACTAATACGATTTACCCATGTTTCTTCAAGCAGACAAATGCCCTGTTCAAATTCTCCCTAAAACCCCTGCAAGGTCAAATTGCCAGGCATCTTTGTTAAAACCCCAGCACAGGCTCTTAGACATAGGGGTGAAAAGACATTAAGTCAGTCTATGTGAAAGTGAAAGTCCTTAGCCAGGCACAGTGGTGCACATCTTCAATCCCAGAACATGGGAGGCAGAGGCAGGGTAAGTCTCTTCAGTTCCAGGGCAGCTAGAGCTGCACAGAGAAACCCCGTCATGAGAAACCAAAGAGAGAGAGAGAAAAAAAAAAGAAAAGGGAAGGAAAAGGAAGGAAAAGTCCCACTTACCATGTGCTCGAAGGCACACCGAAGTAGAAATGGCTCTCTTGCCAATCAGGCTAAGTGCCCTGGTAGCCAACATTCTGAAAGACAAAAATGTACATCTCTAACAATGAGAGGAGACATTTTTTGGAAGAAGTCTTTTTGCCATGGAACATTAAGGAAGTAAATGCAACTTATTCCCCCAACATTAAATGCTGTTTTGTTGTTGGTGTTATGACTTCATCAGCTTTTTAAGGCACAGACTGGCTTGAAAGCTTCCACCGTATCTTCCTCTACCCCATAAGAGCTGGCATTACAGGCCAGAGGCATGAACCTAGGGTCGGTCCGGTTTGTATTACTGATGCGAAGGCATGAAGTAGCAAGGAGGATGTTCTCCTACTTAGTATGCATTTACGGAGCTTCCTGATATCAAACCAAGGACTGTAATATACATGGCTTTGGCCAATTACTTAAAAAAAAAAACTGGCTTCTTAAAAATTCACTAGAAGGACGAAATAACTGAAACTAGAACTCGGTATAGCACGGTATAACTGTCCCTCGCTGTGGCGGTGGCAGCACACCGCCTGCGACTGAGTTTTATTTTAAAAATCGACTTGCGCGGAGACGGCGAAGGGCAAGCGGAGGAGGCCGCCCAGGGCCTAGCCCTGGCCCGCTTCCCGTCCCTGCGGCCCGCAGGCGACCTAGATGACCCTGTCACCCGCCCCAGCGACCCGAGCTCCGCGCCTCACTTTAGTACAACCCCCTTGGATTCGCTCCCCGAGAGAGAACGTCTGAACCCGAAAAAATAACGCCCGGGGCGGTAGAAATCGTAGCGTGACGTCAGGGCTCAGCTCGCTGTCCCTCGGGCCTGGCGAAGCGGGAACGCCCGATGCGGGACAGGCCGGATCCGAACGGCAAACGGGGATCCAAGACAACAGACCCGCCCGGGGAGCGGGCGCCCCAAGGTCACGGAGCTACTCAAGTCCCCGGTCCCGGGGCGCCTAGGAAGCACCGCTCCCGCCCCGGCGATCCAGGTCCTCGTCCCTCGGCCGCGCCGCCCTCACCCGCTGTCAAAGGCCGTCACCTGCCACTGCTGCCAGGCGACCGCCGCGACCGCCCTCTACACCACGGGTGCTCGCGACCGGAAGAGCGGGGCCCGCACCGGAAGTGCAAGAGGGTGCCGCGAAGCCTCGCGGGAATCGAGGAAGCCCCGCCCCACGCCCGTCCGATTCGGATCGCGGTGCGGCAACTGTCGCGAAAGGCGGCGAGCGGGCCGGGCTGTTTTCTGGCAGACGCTAGCGGCTACGCTTTCCGGCGGACGGATTGAGTCGGGAGGGAGGCTGGCTGCTGGAGGTGGGAGCCCGTGTCAGCGTGCAGCAGCGGGGTCGTGTTTTGTACCGTGGCGCGTTGGTCGCGACGCGGCCAGCTCGGCTCAGCATGCCCGGCGTGAAGCTGACCACCCAGGCCTACTGCAAGATGGTGCTACACGGCGCCAAGTACCCGCACTGCGCCGTCAACGGGCTTCTGGTGGCCGAGAGGCAGAGGCCGCGCAAGGAGCATCCTCCCGGCGCGGGCAGCCACACTCTCTTCGTGGACTGCATCCCGCTCTTCCACGGCACGCTGGCTCTGACGCCCATGCTGGAGGTGGCGCTCACCCTAGTAAGCTCGGGGCCACGGCGGGGTTCTGGGCTGGGTGAAGTCAGGCGTCCTTCGCGGGAGGAGCATCTGCTAGAAGCGTAGCAAGCTCTCGAGGTTTTGTAAAATTACCCAGAATCTGAGTGTGCTGTTCATTCTTAAAACCAGCACTCGGGTTAGGGAGGCAAGCGGATCTGTTATGAGTTCGAGGCCAACCTGGTCTACAATAGTGAGACCTGGGACGGGTAACGTTTAAAATTGAGATTTAATGTGCTTGTGCGCAAAGAAAGACGCCTATACCGTGTAAACCTCTAGTTTGACAGGCTGTATTTTGTCGGCCCACTTTACTTTTTTCCCCCAGCGACATTGAAGTCTATTGCTAAACTTGCTGTTTTAGCAAGATTATAGGTCATAATACCGACTGCTCCTTCTGCTTTTGTAAATCAAACTTGCTTTCTCTGCTCAAGAGACAATTGGAAGACCCAGAATTATAACTTTGTGGAGTCCTTTTATAAAGCCCTGGGTTGATTGGATCTGGCCAAGTGCAGTCCTGACGCACCTGAGATGCAAATCAATCCTGCTGCCAGTATCTGAATTAAAAAGCTCCCTGACCCTGAGCCAACCAGACTCGGTACAGCTTCATTACATCTTAGAAGGAGCTCTGAAGATAAAACCTGAGCTGGCCGTGGAGGAAATGTTAATCTTGTCTCCCCTCCGCGACTAAAATGACTCCATTGAGTCAGAGACCCGTTTTGAATGTAGCCCCCTGCTAGCCTCGCTCTCCCGGCACTTCCTGCTCTAGGTTCCTGAGAACTGGGATTACCGGTGTGACTAGCATTCCTGGATGTCTGTTTGCTTTGTTTTTTTTGGTGGGGGGGGAGGGCACGGGAAGGACAGTATTTCACTTTTGTGGGCTTGGCGGTTTGGGACTCTTCTGTAGACCAGGCTAGCATCCTACACACAGATCAACCTGCCTCCATCTCCTGAGAGCTAGGACTAAAGGTGGACACAACCACGCCTTGCTCATCCGTTACTTAACTTACAAAACCAGAAGAAATTTCCGCCAGACTACAAGTGCCTTTAGGCAAATTGTCTTGCTGCAGGGTTTTGTGGTATGTGTGTGTCTTAAAAGAGTTATTGTGCCGGTTATTTTGTTTTTGTTTTTTGTTTTGTCTTTTAAGATTCTTTCCGAGCAGGAGGAAGATTTTTGAGTGATACTTAGTTCCTGAAGAAGAGTGCTTTTAGTGCCTGAAGTATCTCTTGGGGATTCCTGTGCATGTTTCTGGCCACTGTCTTAATTGTTCTGTTAGCAAGGGAGTTGCAGGTAGATGAATCTGAGGTTTCCTGGTTGGGCTCTGCCTTCAATGGTCGGGCTGGGTTCTTGGGTTCTCCCCTGAGCTTGACTTGTGGTGGGTTGAACCTAGGGCTCAGTTAGACTCGCATTGGTACTGGTCTAACAAGCTCTATGCTGAAGAATGCAGGAACCAGCTAATGGAGGAGCTGGAGGGATGGCCCAGTGGTTGGAGCACTGGTTGCTCTTGTAGAAGAACTGTCCTCACTAGGCCAGGCACTTCCAGCCGCCAGTAACTCCATCTCCCGACTCCCTCCCACGGCTTCTGTGTGCACTGAACTCACATGACCGCACCCACTTGTAGACCCTGAACTAAAAGTAAAACAAGGGCCAGGTGAAGTGGCCTTTAAGTTCTTAAAAGTTCAAGACTAGCCTAGTCTACAGAGCTAGTTCCAGGACAGCCAGGGCTATATAATGACACCCTGTCTTGAAAAACAAAGCAAGGTATTTTAAGAAAAAAAAAATTGTTCCTTTTTTTTTCCCTTAAAAAAGTTGGCTCATCAAAGCTGGAGGATCAGGATGGTCAGGGCTTTCAAGTATCAGGCCAGCCCAGCACCCCAGGCCACGTGACCTGCCTGGGGGCCTTCGTCAGAGGCAGTCTGTCAACTGTCTTGAACTCTGTGCATCTGATGCCGTGACCAATCTCTTCTGATGCCGTGACCAATCTCTTCCAATGCTGTCTCCACTGTGTTCTGGAACACAGTTTAATGATAGTTTTCAGGCCTGGGTTCCGTTGTGACGGACTCCCGTCTCCCTCAGGTTCTTGCTAATCTATCCCTCCATCTCCTGCCAGCCTCTAGTCTCAGATGAGCCTCTGCATCAGGTTGCAGGCTCCGCCTGAAGGACTGGGGTCTGACAGTACCTCTCCAGATGGTGCATCTGTCCCAGGATGTGACCCCACACCTGTGGGAGCAGCAGAGTCCCTTAGAGCAGCACACCCGCTGCTCCCTGTCTCTCTGCACACACCTCCTTACCCTCCGCCGTGTCTCTTCCCAAACACACAGCATTCCTGGTACTACTGTTCTCTCCTGTGCATGCCCTCTGCCCTGAATATCCTCCACCACTCCCCCTGGGCTGTCTAACCAGCCCCATGGCACTTGAGTTTCTTCAGTTGGTGCTGTTTACTTTGCAACCTTGCACACTGAAGGCCAGGAGGTCTCTGAGTTTGGAGTCTACTGCTGCTGTAGGCGGTGGAAGTTTTAACAGCAGCAGGCAGAACCCATGTAGTTACTTCGGTGAGGCCCCAGAACCTGGTGGCCCCGCTGCCGAGGAGCTCACTGGAATGATTGTTGAACGTGGTAAAGACAAGCCAGCCACTTCTTAATGTGTGTTCTGCCAAAGGGCAGCATGAGACTCCTTTGAAGGGATTTCTATTATCATTTTCCATTAGACAAAAATCCTTGCATTTCCGGGTGCTTTTCATCTGTTTAAGTACTTCTGCCTGTTATTTATCCTCAAGCCCTTTGACGTAGGCAGTGAAGGAATTACTCCTAATAGCAAAAACCCATAAAAGGGTTGGTAGGGAAATTAGTGTAACCCTGTTTCTCTAAGCCCCTTTGTCTTTCCCCTGCCTTGGTTTCTGCTGTGGCAGCGGCTCTCTGCGTTCTGCTCAGATGACTCTCTTACTCACCATGATGTGTCTCAGGCCAGTGTTCTCCCTACAGTCTGCACTCCATGCCCCACCGCTGCTGCCCCATCTGCCCTGGGCGCGGTCCCTCTCAGCAGCAGCCTCCCACTCCCCCAGCCTCTCTTCCAAGGAGAAGTCAGGGCTGGCCTGAGAAGTAGCTCAGTGAAACCCTGAAGGCCTGCTTCTTGCTACAAACAGGTGTGACCAGGTTACCCTCCACTTGGTCATGCAGCGTCAGGTGTGGTATGGCTCTTCCTTCGCCTTGCCTGGTCTCTGGTTATTGTGGAATCACCTGAGATAGACTACAGTGCTTACACACAATGTTAGCAGGCTTTCGGAGAGGGGCCATCTGTGCAGAGTCTTAACAGGAGCTAAAGGGTTGGCCCTGGCCCCTCAACAGCTCTCCAGTCTGTGAACAGAAGGGCAGGGCTCACACCCAGCTAAGAGCTTTCTCCTTCCCCTGTGAAGGAAAAAATGTTTATGAGGGGAGTAGAGGGTCTGTCTGAGGTTCACTTACCTCCCTACGGTCCTGGACAGCTATTTGCTGTTCTGTGCTGTTCTTAAGAAACTGCATGGTTTTCAGATGGCCGTAGGGGAAGATGCCCATTAGCAGAGGTCAGCTTCAGCTTCAGGGTTGTGCTTTATCTTGGCCCACTTGGGAAGCAGCAGGCTACTTGACTGTGTACTGTCACTCCAGGCCACCAGCTTTTCCTGGGGCTTTTGGGCTTCCCTCGGGCTCTGAGGCCTCTCTATGCCTGTCCAACAGTCTATCCACGTCTGCTACCTCACTCTTCAGAGGCCGCCTAACCCTGGTTGGTTTGTTTTGTTAATTATTTAGGGGCAAGAGAGATGGCTCCGTGGCTAAGAGCACTTGGTACTCTTCAGTAGACCGAGTTCAGTTCCCAGCACCTGTGTCAGGTGACTCACAGTAGTTTGTGCATCCAGTTCCAGGGAATCTGACACCTTTGACCTCCAGGGGTACCTGTGTTCCTGTACACACACAGACATACACATAATAAAAAATAATAAACCTTTAAAAATAAGTATATGTCATGTGTATGGCCTCTGTGTATGTCTGTGCGGGTGTGTGTGTGTGTGTCGCTTGTGGAAGCCAGAATGTCAAATCCCTGAAGTTAAACACAGTTGTGAGCCGCCATGTGGGTGCTCTATGAAAATATCCAAACTGTTAACTACTGAGTCATCTCTCCAACCCTCTTCCCCTATTGTTAAAACATTCCCCTGCCTCTGTATGCAGGAGGGGTCTGCTCCCTGGCGGATGGATAGACAATGCTCAGGTCCTAACCACCTATGAGTTGGATGGGAGACAGAAACATACAGTGAAAATTAAAATTCTTTGCAGTTCCCAGAGCCCAGCCAGAGCTTTTATGGCCTGGTTTACTTTATGCCTCCCCACAGAGTTCTCAGAGTTCCAGGTCACAGCATTGCGTCCTCCTCTGGAGTTTATTTGAGTGCCTGGGATTTTTACATAGGAATTTGTCCTTACCAGACATGGGGAATGAAACATGTGCTGCATTTGTCACAGGAGTCAGCCCTGTGTCTGTGCTCAGAGAACAAATTCAAGGTAGTGTTGTATATGTTTAAGGCAGATGTGAGTCCTGGACCTTTTGTCTAAAGAACCAGATGAGACTGTTCAATGAAGGCTAATTCTGTGTTGCTGGGGCATAAAATATGTGTTGTGCCCCAGTAGCAGATACAGCATGACCGTGATCAGCTCAACAGACTTCAGAAGATAGTCACAGGCAGAGAGATTGTCCTTGGTCCTCTGTGTAGGACCAGAGTAGGCATGGGGCTCCTTAAACAAGTCAGCGAGTACGGTATGGAGACAGAAGTGGTCAGGAAGGTATCGCTGTAGACCCAGGAAATCAGACTAGAAAGGGGGTGCCCAGAACTTGCAGGAACTAGCCCCATTATAGACTGCTCACCTGTGAGATAAAGAATTAATGTTTTATGCCGATGTATCTGAGTGCCTTGTGTCAAGAGCAGTAAATAGAAAATAGGCAGGCCCTGAGACGGGGAGCTGGCCAGAGGTAGGGTTGCCTGCAGCAAAACAAGGTCAGCTTTGAGTTCAGGGAAAGGGGCTAAACCCAAAGTTTAGAGTAAGGCCCTCTGATGGTGTATGGTGATAAGTTTGGGAAGGGAAAGAAACTTCTAGGTAGGGGCATTTATTTCTAGCACCTGCTCCCTTAAAAGGAAATGGTAACACGTGACTAGCTTTGCAGGGATTTGTGCAATAGAGCCATTATAAATATTTGGGGCTGTAACTCTAATCTTTTGGGTAGATAACCAGCATTGTTCACTGGTTCAGTGAGCCCTGGTTTTGTCCCAATATGGTAACTCATGAGTTCTCAGGAATTTGGAAGTATTCTAGTCCACATGAGCCAGGGACCGAAGACCTGTCTTAATGTCTGTCTTTAGTCATGAAGGACACTGAGGTCTGGACCAGCATCTAGTTGGGGGGAGCAGGTTTTAAAGTAGGCGCTTTGGTTTTTAAGACTATTTTCTTGGACCTGGAAGTAGTGCCAGCATACACCTTTAATGCCAACACCCAGGAGCCACAGGCAGGCAAATCTCAGAGTTCAAAGTCAGCCTGGTTTACAGAGTGAGTTCCAGGACATCTAGGGTTGTACAGAGAAACCCTGTCTCAAAAAGACAATCTTGTGCAGCTCAGGTACCCACACTATGGTGTCAGCAGGCTCCTGCCACAGACTTAAGATCTTTCTGCATAAGTTCCCAAATACTAAAACCACAAATATATGCTACTGTGTCCAACTTGCATTGCTGGGGTTTTAGGTTTTGTCTTTAAGATTTACTCTGTTTTTGTGTCTGTCTGCCACAGGCAGGCATTAGACCTGCAGAAAGCTAGATCAGGTGTGATAAACCATAGAGCAGAGCAATTCTGAAAGTCTGTCGCTGCTCCTGTTTCCAGCACAGGACAGTAAGCATGCTGCACTGCAAAGACATGGGTGGGTGCCGTTTGCACCCGCCCCAGCAGCCTGGTCTCCTTATTTACAGAGGTTAAGCTTTAAATACGGTATCACCAGCCTTCTGTGTGTCTCAGATCCTAAGAGAGCGTAAGTGTGCTCAGCGTATTCGAGACAACCGTCACAGTGTGGACGATGTCTCAAGCTTCAGGATGCTTCCCTCAGACCCCTGCCGTGCGCGCGCACGCGCGTGTGCACACACACACACACACACACAGAGTGCTGCTGCTGTGTGGTATTGGCTGCTGTGCCCAGTGCAGCCTGTGTGGGGGGACTCTGCCTCTGGGCCCTGAACTCTTGAGTTCCCACTTCACTGTAGTCAAGAGGACGGACAATTGGATGTATGGGTTGTCCTTGTGGGGGAGAGGTGCACTGTCACCGACCTGATGCTGAGGTCCTTTTCCGTTTCTGTTCCTCTCAGATTGACTCGTGGTGCAAAGACAACAGCTATGTGATCGCCGGCTATTACCAAGCTAACGAGCGTGTGAAGGATGCCAGGTAGGGGTTGCACACTGGGCGGAGGGTTCGAAGCCACAGAGCCGTCATAGGCTTCAGTTGGCAAAGCCTGTGCAGGTCGCCACCTCCCAGCCCTGCTTTGTCAGGTGTGCAGGTGACTGGCCAGATGAGCAGCCAGGGTTTTGTCCATGGCTCCTTTGTTGTTCAGGGAAGGAGCTCAGAAAGAGGGGGAGCAGCCACCAGCTCTGTGTCCGCCAGCCTGCTGCCTCCCACTCCCAAACCTGAGGCTGTGGAAGGCAAGGGTCACTCTCTTGAGTGAGTAAAATGGTTTGGGGTTTGGAACTCTTAGGATGGGGGCCTGTGGTGAAAGTGTGGTACCTGAATTGGCTCCAGGTTCCTGCGCCGACGATGCCTCCACCTCTGCTCTCTCTTGAGCAGGCTGAGTTTATGTCTGCTTCAGTCTGGGCTCTGTGAGCCTAGCCAAGGACACCTTCCATCAGGGTGGCTTAAGGAGCTATTAGGTGGGCGACTCCTGAAGGGGTGGGTCATGAATGGACTCAGGAACTTGTACAGGGACCAAGCCAGTGACAGCAGCCTCCATCCCTTAGCCCTCCAGGGCCAGCGAGGAAGAGCTGATAAAGAAGGCCACCTCCAGAGGAGCAACATCCTTTGGCCACAGGACATGGCCAACATCATGATAGGTCCCACGTCAGGGAAGGGAGGCCCAGATCAGTCGTACTGATGTCCCTCTTCCATGCCCTCTGCTGTCCTCCAGAGGCTTCCTTTGGCTGCAGCCAGCTAGAAGCCAGGGGACAGCTGGAAAATACCCACACAGTAAGTACTGGGGTTTTCTTGTGTGGTTAGATGGAGCCAACAGACCCCAGTGTGCTTCTGTAGTGTGGGCGGTAGAATGGCCCACAGGCTCTTCTAGAAACAAAGCAGTGAGCTGGAGGTGCCCCACTATTGTCACTGAGGCTTGGATGCCTTCTCGTTGAGTCAGTCAGGGCACTCTGGGGCTGCCTACACCTGTGAAAGCCCCGGGCTCAGGTCCCCGGGCTCTGCGGCCACCTCTTGTTCTCTGTGCCCTCTGGCCCTGGATTCTTCCTCTGCGTGGGTGACAGGTGCTTGTCCACCCTGCACAAAACCTGCTGTGGAGGTGGCTGGGGAGAGCCACGCAAGCAGCTCTGCTGAGCCAAACAGAAGGGGCAGGCTGTAGCTGCAGAAGTTGCAGACCTCTCCCAGCAGCGTGGCTGGGGAAGTTTTGTCAGTGTGAGGTGCCAATGTCATTGAGCAAACACCATGACACCAAATTGAAAGCTCACAGCACAGGAAGGTGTAAAATGCCTTAGAGTCCTAAAAAGTGGTTTGATTTAAAGAGGGTTCAGTTAGGCCCTGGGACTCCTGTGACAGTTCCTGTGGATAAGCCACTCAAGAAGCAGGCACAGGAGAGTGCCGATTCAACTTCCTGTACAGTCCACAGCCCAGCAGGTCGTCAGCTGCCCTGGGCCACACTCCAGGAAGCATTTCCCTTCAGAAGATGCCCAAGGATCCACCCTGGCATTCACAACCCTGAGTCCCGCTTCCTAGCTCAAGTGCTGGTGAACTGTCCTGACAGGGAGGGGACTGTTCGACTCAGCTAGAGTATTGTTGAGCTCAAAGATCCTTCTCCACAGCCCAAACCAGGTGGCAGAGAAGGTGGCCTCCAGGATCGCAGAGGGCTTCAGTGACGCTGCACTCATCATGGTGAGTCTCATGGAGAGGCTTCCCCCTGCTGGGCTGCCCCAGCTCCAGGCCTAGAATGTGTAGTCATGGTGGTGGGTGAGGAGTACTGCTGCCAGCCCGTCCGTGGGACAGGGGCTCTCTCTCACCTCCTGCAGTCTTGGCCGGCTCTCCAGCCTCACTAGCCCAGATCCCTGGGGGTGGCCCAGTAAGTACCAGGGCCACTGGGCAAAGCCTGGAGACTGGAAAGCAGGGCTGCATTACACACTCTGAGAGGGAGGGAGCAGTCTGGTTGGGGCACACTGCCCCGCTTTGTGGAAAGGCGGGAAGAGCTCACACTTGCCCTGCACCACAGAGTCCCTTGGTATGGGCATGCCTGTGCTGCTCGCCTGGGAGCCCAGGCCGGCCCTTCTCACACTGTACTCAGGCCGGTACCCTCCCTTCTCCTCAGGTGGACAATGCCAAGTTCACGATGGACTGCGCAGCACCCACCATCCACGTGTATGAGCAGCACGAGAACAGGTGGCGGTGCAGAGACCCACACCAGTGAGTGCAGCCCGGTGTGGCCCCGCCTCCGACGGGCGGGCTTCTGTGTAGCTTGGGGTCTGGGTGGTACACCGTGGTCTCCACACACACCTCCAGTCTGCTTTCTGATCACATGGATGCCTCCCTCAGCCATGTTCCTCTAGTTCTTCAGTGCCCCATTGGGAGGGACCTGTCCGTCCACTCAAGTTCACATTCCTGTGTCTCCCCGCAGCTGCCCTGTCCTTAGCAGCCTGTGTGGTCTTGGTAGGTCTGAGGCTGACTTCTGTCTGTCCTGCAGCGACTACTGTGAGGACTGGCCGGAGGCACAGAGGATCTCGGCCTCGCTCCTGGACAGCCGCTCCTATGAGACACTGGTGGATTTCGATAATCACCTGGACGACATCCGGAGCGACTGGACCAACCCCGAGATCAACAAAGCAGTCCTGCACCTGTGCTAGACAAGGCCCAGGACTGGAGAGCACGCTGCAGAGAAGACGAAAGCTTATTTTTAAATGGAGACGAATAGTGGGTTAGACCGAAGGCAAGCTGCAAGTCTGATGTGTGCCTTGGGAGGAAGGGGTGCAGTCGGCGTCCTGCAGGGCAGGGCTGTGGAGAGAGAGCTGAGGGCTGCCTAGGCTTTGGGTTCTCAGTCCTATACTGCCCGGTCCTGCCCGCCAAAGCTCTCTCTGCTTGTCCCAGGTCATTCCCATTAAACAGTTCTATTTAGCCTTTTATAATCCTGAGAGGGTGTGTTTCAGTCTTTACTGTGGGGAATGTATGGGTCATCTTAGCCTAGGCCGCTCCGGGACCCTGACGCTAGAGCATCATCTGAGCAGCCAAGTAAGTGTGGGGCTGTGAGCCACACAGGCTGCACCGAGGGATTGGGCAGTGCTGTTGCCTGAGAAACCACAGCACGATGAACACAACACATCAGTGATGAGAGCAAAGATCCCAAGAGAAGCCAGTTCACCCTGACTCAGCTACTCCACGGCTTCAGAATGAGAGCTGCTGTGTATTTACAGCGGGGCGGGCTTGCACCCATGCTGTCCCAAGCAATATGCTTGTTAGTTAGCTTGGATCATTTGACCAAGTATTCTTGACCATCTTAGGAAATAGCATGTAGGCTTTTGGGTACACTGTTCCCCATGTTCTTACTAAGTGGGAGAGCCAGGGTCACCTTAGTGAGTGGACTCTGGAGAGCCAGGGTCACCTTAGAGAGTGGACTCTGGAGACCTTTCTCCCCTTTATTCAACATTTTGCTGTTTTTTTGTTGGTTGGTTGGTTGGCTTTTGTTGTTTGGAGGAAGTGTTTAGTTTTGTTTGGTTAAGAATATCCCTTTATGATCCTACTTGGCGTGGTGGTCACTGTGAAGGAGCCTGGCCCTGGACAGGCAGTGACCCCTCAGCCTTTGCTTCTTAAGAACATGGATCACCACGCCTCCAGCTCCCCTGAACCTTCTAAACTGATTTCCTCTGTGTCTGAGCAAAGGAAGATGTGAGGCACCAATCCCCACTCTTCCTCACCCCCAACCCCAGCACTACCTTGTTTATTTTTGAGATGGGAAGTGTCAAGATATAACCAGGGTGGTAGACAGTAACTCACAGTTCTGTCTGTCCAAGCCAGGTGGCCCATGCCTGCGTCCTAGCACAGAAGAGGAATCACAAGCTTGAGTCTGTCTATTCATAATGAGTTTGATGCTTAGACTGGAGTGGGAACATGTTCTGAAAAGACTGACTTGTCAAACTTGACACTCTTGCCTAGCTTTGAGCTCCTGCCTTGTGTTCAAGGACAGCTGGTCCTTTACAGTGAGGCTAGCCAGTGCCCCTAGTGGACATCATTCCTGGGAGCAGAACCCAGGGCCTCCGCCAGGAGAAACTCCCTATACACAGATGGACACTGTAACCTCTTACAGCACCTACCCTCTGTCCTGGTTACATTTCCATTGCCCTGATGAAGCACCAAAACTAATTTGGGGAGGAAATGGCTTATTTCACCTATAACTCAGAACAAAGGGGAGGAAGCTGGAGGCAGGAACTGAAGCAGAGGCCATGGAGGAGCTGCTTACTTGATCTCCGTGGCCTATCCATTCGTAACTCAGGACCACAGTCTAAGGGCAGCAGTTCCTCAGTTGATAGTCCCTCTTCCCAAGTGACTAGTTTGTGTCAAGTTGGCAAAAACTAACTAGCAATGTCTTAGGGTTCTCAGAACTGACAGAATGGGGGGGGGGGGGAGGTGCGCACGTATGCATGTGTACACACACGTATACCTATATGTGCGTATTTACATGTATGTAAAACAGCATGTATTAGTCACAGGCTATGGTCCAACTATTTGAGCAATGGCTTCTCCCAATGGATAGTCTACAATTTCCCTGTTCGGTCTGCAAGGCTGGATATCTCAGCTGGTCTTAAGTATATGCACAAAGTGGGCTCCAGTGGCATCTAAGGGACGGATTGACAGGGGAGCAGTCAGTGAGCAAAAGCTTCCTTCTTGCATGTTCTCTGTATGGGCTGCCACCAGAAGGTATGGCTAGACTCAAGCTGGGTATTTCCAATTCAGATGCAATCAAGAAAAATCTCTCCCAGGTGTGCCCAGCAGCTTGGGATGTAGTGACTTAATCCCATATAATGTAATAGTGATTCCAAGTCGTACAATCAAGTTGACAACCAAGAACAGCTACCGCAGACATCACTATTGGGCCATAATCTTCCTTGTTTATCTCCAAGTTGCTTTTGGTTGGTGTTTACAACAGAAACTAAACTAGGGTACCATTAAAAAAGTACACATGTAGTACCAACTAAAATATAAAGTGTTTTAAACATTCCGAAGAAAACTAGAGAGAGACTTTGAAGGTCCCACCACCGTAAAGCAGTAACGAAGAAATAGACCTGCTATAAATGTCTGGTGTCTGTGTATCAGTTTTTTAAAAATTTAATGGATTTTCCACTTAATTTTTGTTTTTGAGACAGTTCTATTATGTATCCTTGGCTGGTCTAGAACTTGGTATGTAGACCAGACTGGCCTTGAACATGAAGATCACCTACTTCTGCCTCCTGGGTGCTGGGATTGCGTTAGAAGCTTTTCACTTCCAAAATTGCCTTTTAAGATGGGGGCTACAGAGATGGCTTATCGGTTGAGAGAGCTTGCTGCTCTTGCAGAGGACCCAGGTTCAATCCCCAACACCAACATGCTAGCTCACAATTGTCTGAAACTCGATTCAGGAGATAGAGTGCTCACTAATGAGACCTTCACTGGCACCAGGCACATGGGGTGCACAGACACATGCAGGCAAAACACCCATACACAAAGAATAAATAGTTGCAAGACTGAAAAAAAAAAATAAAAGAATTAAGGATACTAAGCCAAGCCTGCTGGCCTTTAATCTCAGCATTCTGGAAGCAGGGAGATGTCTGTTGGTTCAATTCAGCTTAGTCTACATAGTTCCAGGACAGCTGGGGTTATATAGAGAAACCCTGCCACTGGATAAATGTTTAAGGATACTACCCAAACGTGGTGTATGCCCATAATTCTAGCGCTCAGACCAAGACAGTAGAATTGCCACAAGTTGAGGCCAGCCTGGGCTACATTTTGAGTCCCAAGGCTAGAATAAGAACCTGTCTCAAAACAACAGAAAATAATACAAAATGATACTAATACGGTAAACCAGGCAACAGCTTCATGAGGAACAACGTGGTGAGCTGACCGACCTAACCATATATGTTCAGTGCCCTGGACTAGAAAGCAGCTTGGAAGTCCTGCGAAAGTTTGTATGGCCAGCAAGATGGCTCAGCTGATAAAGGCAGCTTAAGCCCCACATGTTAGAAATGTGCAGGTTGTCCTCTGACCTCCACACATGCACTGTGACGCACGGTTGATAAACACATGTTATTTTTAAAGCCTTTGTATAATTAACATCATTTATTCTATTTATTATTTTTGATGTGTAGAGAAACCTATTGTTTCTGTGTGGTACTTTGCACTCCGTGTGAGACCTCCATCAGGCAGGAAGCTCAACAGAAAGTGTCCAGCCAGCTGCAAGGTGAGGGCGTGAAAGTGTCTGGGGAGGAGGAGGAAATGGTGACCATGTCTGTGAGGGAGGGGTACTGCCCGAGGTGCTGGAGATTGACGCAGGGCCTCGTATGTGTTCAGTGAGCACCCTACCCTGTGATATCCATCCTCAGACCTATAAATATTTCATTCTCTTCAAATTGGCTGCAGCTATCTGTGTGCCTCTGATACCCTCAGCAGGACCTGTGCCATTCTTCACAGCTGCTTCTGAGCACTTCCATCCCCAAAGATCTGCTGCCTGAGATCTGCCCCTCGCTGGTTTCTGAAAGGCTGCAATCTAGAGTCTGAGGTGCTGGCTCTGGAATCAGATCTAGGGCACTGCAGAAGAGTCAGGGGTCCGCCTTCTCTGCTGACCCAGGCTTCCAAGCAGGCGACACCAGCACAAGCAGGACCTGGCCCTTACTAGAGGTGAGTTTTGGCCCAAGCGTGTACCGTCTCACAAAGTGGAATAGCATGCAGTGTTTAGTGCTGGCCGAGAAAATTCCAGACACCGTCATGTGTCTAATGAGTTGTGCTTCCAAATACTTGTGATATCCCGTGGACAAAACCCCTGCCCACCAGGAGAGGGGAGTCAGCAGTGCCCAGCCTCAGGCCCAGCCACACTCCCAGGTTCTCTGTTACCTCCCCTGGGACGGGTCTGGGCGATTCTGAAATCGATGCAATCTTGGACCCTCCTAGGTTCCCAACAGGCCTTGCCCCCTTAGAGAGATGGCTTAGCACCTGCCAACTAGTGCCAACAGCCCTACACCACACTGGAAAGTCCAGAATGGGTTGGGTGAGCCCCATTTACTACACTGTAGTTCCGTGGCCCAGGGCATGTCCCTGTGTACACCCTTTGGATAACACCCACCGGCAGAGCCACGCACAGCAGAGAACATGCTCACAATGAAGTCATGTCTAGAACGTGTCGCTGGCCAGATGCATCTGAGGGCACCAGGCCGTGACAACAGTATGTATCAAAAGGCTAAGTGATAAAACATTAAAAAGCTGGCACAGCCAACTCATCCCTCCTTGTCCATCCCGTCACCCGGCTCCACTCACAGATGGGGACAAGGCCACCCAGCCCACAGCAGTGACTTCTTAGGTTCACACAACAGTAAGTGATGGAGAGGGGCGTTGAGCTGGTGGTGCCTTCGCGGGAGACAGACTCAGTGCTGCTCGGCATGCGTGAGACCCAGGTTTGATACACTATGGCAGAAAACCCTCTCTCTTGCACTCGGTGCCCTACCAGCTGCAGCCCGGTCCAAGTACCCTTTATTACAGAACCAGTATAGGAAATCAGGGACAGACAGGTACCTTGTAGGAGCATATGTGTGTGCCTACATCTGCCTCTTGCCATCCCCTTCACTAGTGAGTGATCAGAGATGCAGCCACGTTGCAAGCACTGGTGACCAGTGTGGTGATGCCTGCCTGTGTTTGAGGACACCTGCAGTGTAGAAAGGCATGGTGGTAATGGTCTGTAGCTCTGGCCCAGAGGATTCAGACCCAAACCCAGGGTTTTCAGCAGCCTGAGCCACAGTTTGTTTTGTTTGGTCCATTGTCTGTGAAGACTGGCCTTGACTCACAGTCCTGCCTCTTCTCACCAAATACCAAGTGCATTCTTTATCTAAATATCAAAGTAAATAGCATGGCTCCAGAGCCAGGTATGCCAGCCCGCACCTGTGGTCCTAACAGG